GCCCAAGGAGCCTTTGCCTCACGAACGGGCACAGCACCCCCTCCTGGCAGCTCCTGCAGAACCAGGCCCGCTGCCATCCCCAGCCAGCACCCCTGCGCCAGCACGTCTGGGTGAATCAAGCCTCCTCTCCTCTGGGCTGTTTTCTGCAGATATGCCCTGTTCTAGGGCAGGGGCCGATCTTCCCAAGCCCTGGCGAAACACCGGGAGGTCTGCACCCTCACTCAGGCATCTCCCTTCCTGGGCCACATCCTGGCCCCTTCACACCTGGCCTCATCCTCATCCTCTCTGCAGGCTTGGGTGGGCCAGATACTGAGCCGAAGAACAAGATCCAGGTTGGGAGCGCTAGTGCCCCAGGGCTGTCAGCCCAGGCCCCGCGCTGATGGAGGAACTGTCCAGACAGGGTCTGCAGGCTTTCCCCATGCCCTCCTCCTCCCACCTCCTCTTCACTGCATGGCTGGCTGCGGCCTCAGGAGGCCCCAGTGGGGGCCTGGAGAGAGCGCAGGGAGGGCGCCCTCCTCGCACAGCCGGGCTCCCTGCTCGCAGTGTGCTTGTTTGCACCCATGTGTCTGTTGTGTCTTTGTGTTCCTTTCCATGTGCTGCTGCTGCTCCCTCACTCCTCTCACATCCCCCTCCCCTGCAGTCCCCAATTTCCCGGCTCCAGGCACCCATCTTCCAGCCAGGAGCTGGAGAAGCCGCTCAGCAGGGCCAGACCTCTTCCCCACCCACTCTCCCAAGGTGTCTGCCCCACCCCACCCTCCATCCTCCCTCCTGTAGGAGCAGATGGCCTGGCAAGCCGGCAGGTAGGGGCGTTACAAAAGGTCGGAGGAGGAGGCAGCCTTTTCCACTCATCAGCAGAACCCGTCCCCAGGTGCCCACCATGCAGATCTAGGCCTTGGCACTTTGAGTCCCCTGGGAGAGGCCTCTACATACCCCCATCCCCTTCTCCCACAGAGATCCAAGCATTGCAGCCCCTTCCCTCCAACAGGACTACAGTCCTGAGAGCCTGGTGCATTGGTACAGAAGACCTACTGACAGCCCCCAGCCCCCAGAACAGAGCGAGAGCCCTGGCTGCGGGCTGCGGGGAAGCTGCCTCGTGCGGGCCGTGTGCTCGGTACCAGTGCGTGCACAGCATCCCCTGCCTGCCGAGGCCTCTGCTCCGTCTGCCCAGCACAGATCTGGGAGTGTGGGGAGGGTCAGGCCTCATGTGCTGGGCTCCCTGTTGGGAAGGGCGATCCAGCTGCCAGCGTGAGGTGCTGCAGAGCCATGTTGGCCTGCCAGGTGATGGGCACGTGACCTTGGGCTTGGGTCCTGCCCACCCACTGGTGGCATCTCCCCAGACCCACTCTCACCTCGGTCTGTGGCGGTGGAAGGAGCGAGAGATCCCAGCACTAAACTCTCCCTCGCTCTGTTTTTTGAGGAACCTGAATGAACCTGAAAGCAAAGACCGAGTGGAGACGCTCAGGTGAGAGGGCTGGAGTCAGCACTGGCCCTGCCCGGGCCACCGGGCTTGCCACAAGCCTCCTGCTCCTCTCTTCCTTCTGCCACTTGGCTCTCTTCCTCTGGTGGTTCTGCCCTGTCCCCACCCTCTGGGGCCTTCCCTTCCCAAACCCAACTGCAGTAGTTCTGGGCCCTTCTCAGATCTGGTATATTCTGGAAGCCGAAGCCCTGGGTTGGGCGGTTGGAGCTACAGGCTCCTATCCCTTGACTACCTGACCTTTCAGCTGCTGCTTTCTGGAGAGACAGTCTGTGCCCGGTGCTGTTGAGTGCATCATTTCTTCCCTGACCCTCCCCTCTTCAAAGAAAAGGACCTGTAGCAGCATGAGCTGTCACCCCCACCCCAGAGCTGGCTGCTCTGCCCTTCTCCATCCTGACAGACAGCGGGTCGGAGGACTGCCGCCCCCTCGCCTCCCTCTGCCCACCCCAGGCCAGGGTCTCGCCAACCTTGTTGCTCCCGTGCTCTTCCCGCTCTCCTCTCTGGTCTCAGGGGCTGTCTGCCAGGGTGGCTCTCCCGGGGGTGGGGTGCCTCAGCCCCTTGCCTGACGCGCGCGCGCTGCCCTCTCCACAGACCTCATGTGGTGGGCGGCGGAGGAAACGACAAAGAAAAGGAAGAGTTTCGGGAGGCCAAGCCACGCTCACTCCGCTTCACGTGGAGCATGAAGACCACGAGCTCCATGGAGCCCAACGAGATGATGCGGGAGATCCGCAAGGTGCTGGACGCGAACAGCTGCCAGAGCGAGCTACACGAGAAGTACATGCTGCTGTGCATGCACGGCACGCCGGGCCACGAGGACTTCGTGCAGTGGGAGATGGAGGTGTGCAAACTGCCGAGGCTGTCTCTCAACGGGGTTCGGTTTAAGCGGATATCGGGCACCTCCATGGCCTTCAAAAACATTGCCTCCAAAATAGCCAACGAGCTGAAGCTTTAACAGGCTGCCAGGAGTGGGGGCGGCAGAGGCGGGCCAGCTGGACTTGGCTGCTGGGGCCGGCGCTCCGTCCCACCTGGGCGAGACTGCAGGATGGATTGGTGTGTCTCCCCTGCTGGCACTTCTCCCCTCCCTGGCCCTTCTGTTTTTTCTTCCATGTTTGTGGGGGGTGGGAGATGGTCCTCCCCCCACATTCACCCCTGCCCAGAAATTCCCCCTTCCCCTCTCTCCCCCACAGGAGGCAAAGGAAGGGGAGGGTGGATGGGGGGGCGGGGCTCCCCCTCGGTACTGCGGTTGCACAGAGTATTTCGCCTAAACCAAGAAATTTTTTATTACCAAAAAGAAAAAAGAAAAAAAAAATCCCAGCGGCCACCTTTCCTCCCTGCCCCATTGGGACAGTCGAGACTGGATCTGTGGGGTTTCCCGGGAGGGTGGCTCAGGGCTGGAACACTCTCAGGCAAGAGTGGTGGAGTTCCCTGTCAGGCCCTCCGCCAGGCCCACTTTGGGCTTCTCCCCTCTCCTCCCCTCCTTCCCCTCCAAGTGAACCACCAGAGGTGGCCTTCCCCTGACCTCAGGCCCCTGGCTGGAGGCCTGGGCATGGGGCGTGGGGTGCGGGGTGGGGGGTGGGGTGCTGCGCAGCCCTGAGTGGGTGGGGCTGGTGGCTGCTCTGGGGCTGCTGAGGCGGCGAGGGCTGGCAGAGGCTCTGGCCTCCCTCCATGCTGTGCCCTCTGCCCCCTCCTTCCCCAGAGCTGGGCATTTCCTTCCACAAGCTGCTGTGGGGACATTGTTCCCCTCCTCAGAAGTCTGTGCCATCTTCTCCTGCCCCTCCTGGGTAGGAGGGGATGACCCCAGGGCTGGGAGGGGGGAGGGGACTGCAGGGCGGATTGGCTCCTCAGCCCCCAGGGGGCCGCTTGGGCTGCTGGTCTCCAGAGCAGGGGCGCTGGGCATTCTCCGTTATGGGAGAGCCTTTGTCTGAAAGCACAGCCCCCCTCGCTGCTCCTCTCCCCCACGGCTTCCCCTTCATTGGCATTAATCTGGGCACCCGCTCGCTCCATAGCAGTGACTTCCCTCACCGCTCATCTCTCAGCCTTGCCTTTTCTTCCTGACACTGTCGCCCCTCCTCTCAGGAGACGCTGCCCAGGGCCTTGGGGCCGCCTGGCAGAAGGGCCGGGAGCGTCTGCCCCCATGGGGTGGGGACAGACAGGCCGAGTGACTCCCAGCTTGCTAACCTCTCGGCCAGCATGGGAGTGGGTGGTTGTGGGCGCTTGGCTGGTGGCGGCCACTGCATCCCTTAATTTATTTCTCTGCTACTTCTGTTCTTGAGTAACTGGGGGAGGGAGTCCTACACAGAGGCTGCCTACCTTCACCTGAGTTGTACATTTTTTTGTGATGGGTTTTATTTTTTATTTTATTATTTTATTTTTTTTTTGATTTATAACGACTCCACCCTTATTCATCACCCCCGCTCCCAGGCCAGGGTCAGCGACTAGGCGAGCCCTTGGGTCCCAGGAAGGGGCCTCGCCAACCTCAGCCCTCCTGCCCCACACTCCTATGCGGCTCAGACCAAGGGCTCCCCTCCTCCCTTCCCCCCTCCTGCCCTAGGGAACAGCCCGGGTGCTCTGAGGGGGCCGGGAGGGCATGGCTTGGCTCCCGAAGGGGGCGGGGGCTGGGGGCACCCAGGCAAGGTGGCCCCTCCCCGCCTAGCCCCCTCCTCCCCCGCCCTGCACTTAGTTTCTCCTCTGGATCAAACACGTAATAAAGAGAATGTTTGGAATCTGAGCTGCCTGCTCCTGTTTCTTCTCCCAGCCAGGCAGGACCCAGTCCCCTGTGGGCAAGATGTGGCCCGGCCCACCTGCCTTGCAGGAGAGTTGATTCCTGTCTGGGGCCTGAGGGAGAGGCCAGCGCTGGGTGGGCCCAGTTCCCTACCAGCCTCCAGGCACAGACTGGAAGCAAAGCCCAGGGCCCTTACACCAAAAGGGAAAGAGGACTCCGTAAGCTTGGAAGGTTTTATTTTTTATTTTTTAAAAATGTTGAAAAATAAATCCATGTCTGCTGCATAAGTTCCCAACCCCGCTTTCTCCAAGCCTTTAGGAGGTGGGCATGGTGGGTCCCCTCAGAGCTCCTCAGCATTTCCCACCGGCCCCTGAAAACAGAGCTTCCCTTCCAGCCTCTGGGGCTGTGAGGCCCACCTGCCCCCCTCCTGCCCCCCTCCCTACTTCACCCCAGACTTATTGCTAAAAGAAGGGAAAGAGGAATGAGAACAGCCAACACACCAAACTGTCCTCTCCCCCACCCCCACACTAAGGTCACTACCCCCTACACACAGGGCACGGTCCACGGGGGCTGGGCCAAGCCCCCGCAGACCAGGAGGCAGCCATTCCAGTCCCAGCCAGGAAGCAGAAAGTACCCTAAGGCCAGCCCAGAAGGCCCCTGAGCCACAGGTCCAGGCTGTGCCAGTCGGCAGCTCTGGACCTGGCAAGAACCCTTAGTCCCATCTGTCCTCAGAGACACCAGTGATGCCTGGGGATGTCCAGCAAAGGGGTTCTGGAGCCTCTGGTGGGTGGGGGATCTCAGGGCTCAGAGTGAGGGTGCTGGAGGCTCCAGAGGGGCTCCAATCAGGATGGGTGGGGGCTGAGGGCCAGGACGGGCACTGTGGCGGGAGGCAGCCAGAGCAGGGCGGATGAGAGGCGGTGGGGGCTGGTTGGGGGCCAGCCGGGGCTGGAGGAAGCGGCCCTGCTGTAGTGGGGGTGGCTGGCGAAGCAGAGTGGGAGCTGTGGGTAGAGGTGGCCTCAGCAGCGGGGGTGGCTGGGATAGCGAGGTGGGAGGTGGAGGGGGCGGTGGTGCAGGGGGCACTGATCGGGGCACAGATGTTGAGACAGATGTAATCTGGACCTGAGGGGGAGAGAAGCGGTAAGAGACCAGGCTCTTCACCACCCTCAGCCCAGTCTAAGGACCAAGGGGGCGCCTCTCTTCTCCTCCCTTCTCACCTCATCGTCTTCCTCTAGGGCTGGGGCTGGCAAGGGAGCCCCTCTCCTAGCCTCCTCCATGGGGACGGGGGCTCCAGGGGCCCCATCCTGCTCGGCCTCCCATTCCTGCAGCACCTCCTCCAGATTGAAGCGGCGACGGTAGCTCACAAAGAAGGTCTTCACCTGGGTCAGAGTCTTGTTCCCAATCACCTCTGCAATAGCCCCAAAGTCTTTGCCATACCTACGGATGGCTGCAAGGGCCAAAAGGGCAGCAGAGTGTGAATACCCCTTAGAACTAGTTATTTCCCTAATCCTTCCTCTCTGCCCCCAGCTGCTTGGAGGGTGGGGAGATCCATTCCTGGGGTCCTCTTCTCCCCATGGCCTAACCCACCTTGGACAGCCAAAAGCTGCTCATCTGTGGTCCAGCGGGAGTTGAACTTGGTATTGGCCTGGAAAGCAAGGAATGCATCCCTTAGGCTCACAAATTTGAAATTGGAAGCCTAGCCCGCAAGCAGAACCCTTTCTGCTCTGCCTCCAGAGAGAACTCTTTTTTGTACCCATGCTTGAAGAGCCTCACCTCAGGGGGGCGGAGTGGGTCGATGCCGCCCTCCAGGGCTTGGCGCAGGCTGCTGTTGGTCTGCTTCATGCTCTGCACCTGAGAGGGCCAGGAAATGGCGGCACATCAGACTCTCCCTCGCAGGACCCTATTTCTGCACAGACACCAGCCCCACTGCCCTGGTAAAGCTCTCTGCCACCCACCATCTGGCTCATCCCCCCCGCTCACAACTACTCAGTCGGAGATGCTGGGGTTGTCTCTTTTTTGCAGACCAGTTTTGTTTGTTTTTTGTAGAGACAGGGTCTCGCTAAACTCCAGGCCTCAATTGATCCTCCCGCCTCAGCCTCCCAGAGTGCTGGGATTTCAGGCATGAGCCACTGTGCCTGGCCCAGACCAGTTTTTTAAGAAGGCCCAGAAAAGGCCGGGCGCGGTGGCTCACGCCTGTAATCCTAGCAGTCTGGGAGGCCGAGGTGGGAGGATCGCTTGAGGTCAAGAGTTCGAGATCAGCCTGAGCAACAGCGAGACCCCATCTCTACTAAAAATAGAAAGAAATTAGCCGGACAACTAAAAACAGAAATAAAAAATTAGCTGGGCATGGTGGCGTGTGCCTGTAGTCCCAACTACTCAGGAGGCTGAGGCAGGAGGATCCCTTCAACCCAGGAGTTTGAGGTTGCTGTGAGCTAGGCTGATGCCACAGCACTCTAGCCCGGGCAACAGGGCGAGACTGTCTCCAAAAAGAAAAAAAAAGGCCCAGAAAAGAATGCCACATTACCCAGAGTCCTGAGGATGGGGCAGAGACAGGAGGCCTGGCACCTGCACCCTCTCCCTTACACCTCAGCTGTCCCCAAAGTTTAGTTCCCAGGTGCCGACTGCCCCCTTTGCATGGCCCTTTCGTTTCTCAGCCCCCACCTGGCGCTTGAGGGAGATGAGCTGGGAATCCAGACCTCGGAGTGTGAGGTTGGCCAGGTCCGGGCTTCCTGACACTGCAGTTAGGCCCTCAGGGCTCAGGTACATGCCCTTGGGTGGGCGCCGTCGGGTTCGCAAGGGGTGGTGGCGGTACTGAGACACCTGGACTTCCTTCTTCCCAGGGCCTGGGCGTGCATTCAGGGGCCGAGAGGGCAGAGGCTGCCAGGGGAAGAGGAGGGCATGGGTGGTGCAGAGCCGGAGGAGAGGCAGCAGGCAGGCGGGGCCACACCAGCTCTGGGAGCTTACCTCCCGCTTGGGGTCGCCTGCATCGGGCTCTCCCTCACTCACAGCTCCTCGTCCTTCCTCCAGCTCATCACTGCTGACACAGGGGCCAGGGAGGGAATGAGGCAGGGGCCAGGACTCCGCCTGCCCCCACCTGGTGCCTGCCCATGCCCCCACCTGTCTTCTTTGTCCTTGCGGCCCCCCAGCCGCCGTGCCTGTCTGTCCATCACGCTAGTTCGGCTGCGGGTCTTCTTCCAAGAGTAGTAATATTTCACCAGGCTGGGAATCAGTTTGTCGGGCAGCTGGAGGAGGCAAGGTCAGAGGTTGGGGCCCACCCAAGACCCTGGGCCCCAGGTAAGCTCCTCAGGAAGGAGGAGCTGAGGAGCCTTGGGCAGGTAGAAGGGCTTTACCATCTGCTGGATCCGCTGGAAGCACTTGCCATGGAAGCCAAAGGCCTGTTCAAACAGCACCTTGTCCTCCACTGTCCACTCATCAGGGAATGGGGTAAAGTTGGCCAGGTCAGCCAGTGACTTCTCCACATCGTGCTTATGCCACAGGAGCATGCCCAGCGCCTGGCTCGAGATGAGGGGCAACTCAGGCTCAGCTGCCCCCAGCACTGTCCTGTCCCCTCTCCCAAATCCCCGCGGGGTCAAGGCTCACCTGCTCGATGTTGTAGCCATGCTTCTCCTTGGCCATCGCAATGTACTTGTCAACTGCAGGGGTGGGAGGGGCGGGGTCTTGGAGGGGTGACAGCTCCTAACCCAGACCTGTCCAGAAGGGGTACCCCCAGGGGCTAGGCCCCGAACCCCAGCCCCAGGGCAGGGCTGAACCTGCACACCTCAGCCTCCAGCCTACCTCTGGAAGAGCTGGCCTGGGGGTGGGATGAACCCAAGATCCCACCTCCCACAGATGAACATGAACCCAGGGTCCCGCCCCACTCACGCTTGGCATCTGACACACAGTGATTGGGTGACCACACTAGCATCCCCTTCAGCTCCTTGTTGCTGTAGCGTGCGGGGCTCTCTGAAAGGCCAAGGAGCAGAGGTGAGACACTCAGATCAGCCTGCTGGCGCAAGCTAGCCAGGGCCAGAGGGCAGCGGAGTGAGGACTGGGAGGTGAGGCCCAGAAGGGAAGGAGGGGCAGAGAACCAGACAGGAAGGCAGAGCAGGAAAACTAACCATGCCATGGGGCCACCCACCCCCGCCTGCCTTCCAGTGGGACGCAGCCAAGGGCCCCCCAGGTGGGGCTGAAGGCCAAGCCACGGGCCTCCCCCGTCACAGCCTGTCCTGCCACTCACCAGGCTTGCACTCCGGAATTACGGCCTGGTAATTGGTTCCAACGCGGATCATGCTGTCTGTGGAGCCAGGGGAAGGCAGTGAGCACTCCAGGGAGGGAGGGAGAGAGGATGCGGGGGAGGTGGCTGGCATGGAGTTCTCCTTCCTGACCACCCAAGGCCCCCATCTTCCAGGAGGCTCACTTTTCCCTGAGCTTCCCCCTCACCCTTCAGTTACCCTCAGCCACAGAGGAACTGGAAGAGACCCTGCCTAGTCATGGCCACTGGGGGTGGAGGGTAGCCACAAGGGACAGTTTCAGAGCCCAAGCCAAACAGAGCGCTTTGTTCTGGCTGGGGACTGGAGGGTTGGAGGGCAGCCCCTAGACCTGGACCACAGCCCTGCGGGGCACCCAAAGCTCCTCCTCACAAGAGCCTCACAGTTGGGTGTGGAGGTGTCTCCCCAGCCCCTGCCCCAGCCAGACCTCAACCCCTGCAAGGTGGCAAGGTATGCGGGACCCAATCTCTGCAAGGGAGGGATGTCTGGGTCCCTGAGGGACTGAGGGCAGGGCGGGGACGGGCAGGACCGCATCCGCGGCACCTAGGGGCCCAGCCTCCAGATTCCCGGTGCCGGCACCCAGGGCTTGGGGTAGAAGCAAGGAAGAGGCTCCAATCCAGGAGAGGCAGGAAGCATCAGTATAACAGGCCCGTGGTCTGCAACTCTTCCCCCTCCCGCCGCACCCCGCGCCCCTCAACCCGGGCCAGCGCGCCTTTAACCCTAGGCCGCCGGGCTCACCGTGCGAGTGCTCCTCCTCGCTGCTGTCATCCTCCGAGTGGGGCTGTCCACCGTTGGGCACCGTCTTGGCCCGGCTGCGGGACAGGATCCCGGAGCCCGCGCTCGGCTTCTCCATCACGGAGGGCATTACCCCGCCCAGCTGCCCCGGGGGGCGCGGGAGCCTTCGGAGAGCGACGGTGGTTGCCGCGCTCGCCTCGAGTGCCGCGCCCGGCCCGGCCTGGAGAGGTCGCCACTGAGGTTACGAGAGGCAGGAGGTCAGCGTGGCTGGGGTCCGGCGGGGCGGGAGCCAGCGCGCAGCCCCAGCGCTCTCCGCGACCCCCACGGGCGAGGGCGTCAGAAAAGTTTGTGCAGAAGTGGGGTACGCGGGGGATGAGCGCAAGGTCCGGTGCGGCTGAGGCACGCTCGTTCTGCACGCCCCTCGGGGCTGGGGCTCCCCGGGAGAAGTCGGTGCGCCCTGCCCTCGGGGCGCCCCGGAACCCCGCCGCCCGCCTGCCCACGCCGTTCAGCGGGCGGGCGCTGCAGCACAATTTGCGCTCCCCGCGGGCTCCGCGCCTCTCGGCTGCGCCAGGGATGCCCCAGTCTCCAGGTGGGGACCCCTGTCCCAGACAGACCCCTGCCCGCGACGGCAGCCGGCGGGGCCCCGGCGGCGGCGGCGGCGGCGGGACGGCGCGCACAGCGCGCGGCGCGGGACAGAGTTGCCGGGAGGCGGGCGGAGCGCAGCCGCGGGTGCCGCCTCGCACCCTCCCCGAAGCGCTCGCTCTCCCCGCTGCGCTCCGGCTGCCGCTCGCTCGCCCGCTCTCCGCCGCCGCTCGCTCCTCGCGCACACAATGAAGCTGCTGGCAGGGAAGTAGTGCCGGCTGCGGCCTCAGCACCCCTCCCCCAGCCGATGCCTCCGCCAGCTGAACATCTGGCCCTGGGGTGGGAGGGAGGGCCGGGGGGCGGGGCCTGGGGGCTGGGGCTAGACCTCCAGGGGGTGGGATCAGGACCCGGGTGGGGAGCGCGTCCCTCTGAGGGGCCCCCCTCGTGTCCCTGGGCTCCCAGACTTGCCCCTGGGGGAACCCTACTGCCCCTCAGGAGTAGCCGGGGGTCAGCCCCACCCACGCGCACAGCAGTCCCACACACTAGTGGGCTCGGGTTACTGCCGCCTGCCCCGGGGGCCCTGAGGCCGCCCGGGTGGAGCCCAGCTTTTCCTTCCATCTCCCTTCCTGCCAAGGAACTCCCCGCCCCCCCTTCCGCAGGGGGTACCCCCCTTCATGCGCCCTTGGGGGCCAGAACGGATGGGAGGCCGGACAGGCGAGGAGTGAATTCCTCCAAGGGCTACCCGGCCAAGAGCCTGGCTTCTGGTGGATCTGTGGGTCTCCAGGGGTCACCTCAACTCCCTTTAACTGCTGCAGTCTGCACCCCAAAACGGTGGCAGCAAAGGCTGAGGGATGGGTAGTGGGAGTATAGGGGAAGGTCTGGACTGCAGGGGAGGGAGGAGCTGGGTCTCCTCCCCACAGGGTTCACTGTCACCCCCGCTGGAAGCTGCATCACCCTCCCCCAGGACAAGCACGGGCAGAGTGACAGACAGGGAAGCGGGTAGAGCGGCACAGACGGAGATGGGGGAGGGGGTGGGCAGAGACTTTCAAAGCCAGACCCAGCCACCCTGCCAGGCACACAAAGAGCCAGCGCACACACCGGCGGCGGCTCCGAGCCTGCGAGCTACGCCGGTGCCCGTCCCCGCCGCCCGGGGCACGTGCTGCGGCGCACACGAGCTAGAGCCCCCGCCCGTCGCCCCTCCCACCCGGAGCCCCAGACTCCTGGACACACCTCCACCCGGGCACACCCCGCTGTGCCCAGACCGAGCCGAGCCTGCACTTGCGCCCTCCTCTCCCTTCCCTTCCACGGCCACTCTGTAATCAGATTTCTAAATTTAGAAGCAGCCCAGGGCCCAGCCAGGGATCCCCGCCCCCACTCTCTGCCTGCGGCCGCGCGGCCAGGGTCCTGCGGTCGGGCCACGACCCGGCTGGGGCCGCCTGTTCCTGGGGGCTCCTGCGGGTGGCCGCGCAAAGCCAGGCCTGACCCCACCCGGCTGCTGCGCTGTCGGGCTGCTTGGGGCCACCCAGCCAGCAGCCACGTTGCCCTCCACACCTCTGGCCAGGGCTACGGGGCCTTTTTCCTCCTCTTAAATCATGAATTGGGCACCAAGCCCCAGGGTGGGGAGGTCTGGACAAAGGAGAAGAATGAATGGACCAAAGACTGGTCTGAGCTAAGGAACTCTGCTCCAAGGTGAAAGGAGCCTTCCCAGGCTGACCTGTTCTGAGTGGCAGAGTGCCATCCCAGCCCCCAGCACCTCCGCGCTTTGGGGAGGCTCTCACTTCTGCCCCCTCCTGCCTGGCAGGCAACCGTTGCTGCACACCACCGTCTCCAACCTGGTGGCTTCCGTCTTGCCTGGTGTCCCCCATTAGGCAGGACCTCAGTTGGGTGCCCCATGGGCGTGCGTGCGCCCCCCCCTTCCCACACTGGGGTCCACGGCCCAGCCTCCTGACCCTCAGCCCCAGGCTTCACGACCAGGCTGATTTCTTGCTTCCCTCCTCCAGGGCTGCCCCAGGTACCCCCAGTCTCTCTAACAAGGATCCCCAGCCACTGGCCTCCCTCCTGCCCCAGCACCAAGCCCCCCAAGTAAAAACCTAATTCATTTCTCTCTAGAGCCAGGCACTCAGGGCCAAAGGAAGTCTGCCCTGGAGGTGGGGGCAGGGAAGAGAGGTTTATTCCTTACGGGGAGGTCCCTAGGCCCTGGCTTGGTAAGGCTTCTGCCTCGGAGGCAGATGACATGGGGGGTATCCTAGGAGTTTGGGGGTGAGTGTGGGGGCCACAGTGTCCTGAGAGGAGGTGCATTCCTAGTGAGCAACCCCCTCCTCAAGGGGCAAGGGTGCAGGGCTGGGGAGGGGGAGGGGCAAGGCCCCGCCCCTCCCACCTGCTGCAGCCGCCCCCTCCCCAGCTGGCCCCCTCTTTTGTGCGAAGCCACACAAAGGACAAGGGGCCCCGGCCGGCCTGGCCATCTGCTCCCAGCAGCCTGAAGGCTCTTAAAGAGACAGCACCCCCTCCCTGCTGCCCTGGGGCTGCAGGGCAGGGCTGCACCACAGGACCTGGCTCAGCAGTACCCAAAATCCCACCCACCTTTCCTGGGCTCCCCAAGCCTCCAGGTCAGGAATCAACCTCCCCCAGGCCTGAGATGCAGAAGTGCCACGTGGCCAGGAACACAGGGTGTGGGAGGAAGAGAGGAGAGACAGCCCAGGGACCAGCCCCTCGTTGCCTCCAGCCTGAGGCAGCCCAAGGGGCTGTGGAAGCGCACAGCACTCAGGGCGGCCCCAGAACTGGGGTCCCTCACCTCCCTGAGGCCACGTCAGAGCTTGGTGACAGCTGCGGAGCTCCGGGAATGCCCTCCCCGCCATTTGCGAGGAGGAGCGCCTAGTCATCCTTCCACAGGGAGGACGACAGCGCGTTCTCAGAGGGCTGCAGGCCGCTTGCAGCAAGCCATGATCGGGGCACAATCGCTTCCTGCCTTTTTCCAGATGAGGAAACTGAGGCTTTCTCGGCCCCTACACAGGCCTCTGCCTGAAGCCGGCCTCGCTCGCCAAGGCCAGAAACGTCTCCTCATCACTGACGTCCCCAGGGAAGCCCACTCTGGCCAAGCCAAATCCCACTTGGTACCTTTGCCACGCAGCTTAGGGACACAAGTTTACATGATTTGTGTGGCTATTTTCCTTGCCTGTCTCCCTGCTGGGCTGTGAGCCCCATAAGGGTAGGGATTGTGTTCACTGCTGTGTTCTCAGGGCCCCACATATACTAGGCACTCAGTATGTGTTGAATGAATAAATGTCGAGAGCCCAGAGAGCCTTCTCCTCCCCAGGCTCCTCTGTGCTCCCCTGCTGGGCATCTGGCCTCCTCCCTCCTCAAGGTGAAGCGGAGGGGACAAAGTTTGAACAGGGATGCTGGGAAAGAAAAGAAGGGTGACCTTGGGTAAGCTACTGGCCTCCCCTCTCGGCTCCCTCCTCCCAAAGGCGGGGGCAGCTCCAGCCAATCCAAGCCCGCCAGCCCTGCCAGACAGACTGGGACTGTCCCAAGCTCTGGCTCTGCAAGGCCGGCCGCTATGGTGTGGTGCCTGGGACCCTGGCCAGGCCCTCAGTGGCCACGGCCAAGGGGCTAAACTTGGGGAGGGAGGCAGGCAGGAGGGCGGGCCCTGGGGTGGGGGAGGGCTGGTGGCAGGATCTGAGCAGAAACCTGGCTGAGCAACTGGGGGCTCTTCGGGGAGGTGCTTTCGTGGACTGGGAGCCTAGGGGGAGGTGGGCTACAGAGTGCCAGGAGCATGGCAGCTCCCTCTTGAGCCCCCACCCTCTCCGTCCTGCCCAGACAGGAACTTGGTCCCTCCTCCCCACATGCCCAGCCCCATCCCCCAGGGTTGTGAGGAGGCTGAGAGAAGGGGACAGAGGTGGCAATGCAAGCACCCAAGCACCACCTCACATGGAGGTCCTGTGAGGAGGGCTATTGGGAGCAAGGCAGGCACATCTGGGAGTGGCGTGGGGGCAGGACAGCAGGACCAGGGGGAGGTCAGTAAGGAGACCCCAGGCTTCCTGGACCCACGCCGAGGAAATCTGACTCCCTGAGCAGAGCAGGAACCTGAGAGGAAGGGTCAACAAGACCTCAGTTGAGAAAGACGGGAATGCGACTGGCGGGGGCTCCCCGACTCCAGGAGCGGGCAGCTTCCAGACCAGGAGCGGCTGGGCTTCTCCGGAAGCTGGGAAGGGGCCTCCCCTTGCCCTCACCTGGGCAACAGCTGCGCCCTCTGGCGGTGACAGCACGGACCAAGGGGGCCCCACCTCAGTCTGGCACAAACATCCTCCTGGGAGGCTGAGCCTGGCACCCTGAGGAGCCCAGGCTCCTGGGGGGAGTGCCTGGATCACAGTCCCCCTGAGCCATTGAAGTCACTGAGCCTTGGATCCATCCCCAAGTCCTGCCCCACCGCCACCCACAACCTCCCGGAGCAGTCAGGGGAGCAGAGCCCCTGAGAGAAGTGGCAGGATCTCAGACTGGGGTAAGGCTGGCTCTGCTTGTTGCGTGCTGTGTGGCCTTCGGTGAGCCTCAGTC